AATATCTAAACACTATTGCGCTGAGTACTCGAACTACCAATTTAGTCTGCAAATGCTTTCTCTTTTCTATGCTAGGACTAGTTTCGGCTACTACATGTCAACAATTCTGACATTATTAAATGTAAATTACAATAATTTATTAATTAAACAATTATAACAACTCTATTTAATTTTAAATAATTTGCAATATAATTGGCTTTTCGGAAATAATACCAAAAATAAATACAAAATACTTCTCTTACTCACGTCATCCCCTTTCAATCTTCTCAACACTACTATGGGTCATTTAAAGGTGGAAGTCTATACGTTGTAGTATTTATTCTTTTATTTAGTTAAAATAAAAACATAAGAATATCTGTGCGGTGCTAAGCCATATATAAAGTTCAAAGTTAATACGGAAATTTTAATTTTTATAAAATATAATTTTTTATTTTACACTTTTATATTTGTTGCTTTGGAACACCATTTACCTCTTTGTAACGCTCTACTTTGTCACTTTTTTTAAATAATTTCTTATTATTAAAGACTTTGTAGACTCTACATACTTTGTTTAGTCATTAAATATTTTAAGTGCTTTTATTAGTTTAAGTTTTAATAAATGGTATAATTCTAATTTAACTATTTATTTAATTACTTAATTATTTATTTTATTTATTTGTTAGTCTTTCGCTATAACATTTCTTTTTAATATGCATTTTAACTTTTATATATACAATATTCTCTGACTGAACTTTAACCATAATTTTCAATCAATTTTCAAATATTTATTTCATTAACAATAATAATAAAAGTTATTTAATTAAACAATTAAAAAAAAATAATTTTTAAGTGTATGCAAAATGTACAATGTTTAAAATTGAAGTTTTTTATTTATTAAATTTATTTATTGAATAAAGTATTTTTGAAAATTATAACAATTTGTTTTTTATCTTGAATAAATAATAAAAATAACAATTTATTACTCTTTTTAATTGGGTTTTATTTTTTGAAAGGATAAAAAAGGAATGCAATAAAAGAATCATTCATTTTCAGAATGAATATCATTTTTATACACTTACAAGATATCTACAGAAAACTCAGCTAATCAGTCATTTGATTGTTCCATTATTTGCTTGTGTTCATTTCATTCACTCAAGATCTTTTACACACGTAATAACACTTGTTTTTCTGCGCAAGCATTCACTCATTCGTAATTATTTATTTGCTTGCTTGTTATAAGATTCTACACGTAACACATACAACTGCTTGTACGCATCATGATAGAGCAATAGCGAGTAGAGATCCACGAATTTAAAAATTATGGTAAATACTTCAAATAGGTGGGTATTACAAAGATTTAATCATTCAAAACTCCAATATCATTCAAATATCGGTTACTGCACATTTATTAATAATATAAACAATAACTGTATGAATTATATAGTAACAAGTAGAATAGCAAGGACAGAATAGTTATTTAGTTAACAAATTAATTCCCAGAGTTAATTGTTAAAATATTTTTGAATTTAGTTTATTTACAAAGTATTTAGAAGATCACATTAAGGGATACCTGTAGTCTATGTTTTGAGGTACGCTGTTGTGTAAAAATATAATAAATAAGATCAGTTGTGTTCACTAATTGTTTTTACTTTTGAACTATAGAATAGGGTTAAGCGATTAAAGGATAATATCATTATATATAGAGAGAAAACAGATGGTTAAAAGAAAAGAGAACTTATGCCAGTCAATGCGCCATTCAGATATTCATCTGTACAGTACTTTAACAGAAATTTACTAATTGAGAAATAATAGTGTATTTTTATAAGAAACATTTTCGTATACAGATGGTGTCATGCAACATCCAATGACAGCCAATTGAAATTCAAGGTACTGAATTACAACATGACTCCGTTTTATTCAATTCCACTCACAAGGTTGAAGTTGGGAGGTTCAAACTAAAGTAGCAGTAACATAACATCACCTTATTCTATCGAATTTTAAGTAGTTTTATTTATTTATCCCTGCCACAACAGCACTCAGTGAGAGTTTCAGATGTACGAAGAATGCCGATCAATAGGCAAGACCACCACCTAGGATTGTAGGTTTAGAACTATGGTGATCTTGAACTCACCATGACTGTTATGTGGACAGAGTCGTCACTTTTTTTCTCTTCTTTATTCGGTCCAATAGTAAAAAATGGTAGCTGAGAATAAAATAAGTAATGACTTCTATCTGCGAAGGAATTTACATTTAACAAATTGTTTTATAATTATGTATACTAAACAGTCAATACTCTTGGACTTAAGCCTTCTGGATCAGCAAATTTTTATTGGTATTACGGGTTAATGTACTTAGAATAGAAAATTTAATGAGAGCAAAAAATAATTAATTTGTGAAGCTGCAGTATATTTAGTTGTCCACGGACATTAAAGTTCTCAGGATAACTCAGTCTCTAGCCTTCAAACCCATTAAATTAAAAGTTACCTAAAGAGATGAAAAGAGATAAATTGCGTTGAATTTATCTTTTATCCTACCGATGAATGGATAAACTGTCAAAGAAGTATTTAAAAAATCGTTTTTTCAGGAAGACAAAACTTGGCAATGCTTGATTGTTTATTTTGTAAGTTTTCACAATTTCTACAACAATAATAAAAGTTTCTCTGTAAGGGTGGTTCTTATATACCAATGAAAAAGTATTCAAGCTCTCCGTATAAAAAAATTTCCTAAAATTGATCTTGTTATATGACGCCAAGTGTTCCAGAATATTATACATGATTGTAGTTTGTATTGCTTAACACTAGTTCACTAATATTAATAGAGTTTACTACTTCTGTTATAACGATCCCCAATGGCACCTACACAGGTACTAATAAGAGTATAACCAATGAATGTGAGCTAAGACATCTGGTTTTTTATCCTCTTCATTATTTCTATGTCCGGAAAACTAGTTCCACTTTTTACAAGCTTTGATTTTATGATATAAGATTAAAGATCTTTATTTGTCGATTGACTGTCATTTAAAATGACAATACTGCATTTGTCCTAGATGTAATTTGCAATTCGCTTCATCGCTTATACTTACGCCCGAAAATCCATGACTTCAATAGGTAACCGAAGAGAATGGTTTATATCTGCAAATAGGAAGAAAACTCTAGTTCCCTACGCTTTAATCCATTTTTGATCTATCTATAAAAATTAATAAGTCGTATAATGCCAGAAAGTTTCTTCTTTTCATTATGAAAAGAGTATATACAAGAAGAGTCTATATATCGTACTTTTTGATACACAGAAACAAAGGAAACTTTAAATTTATATGAATATGTTAATGCTGACATCCTTTATATCATCTATAACAATAGAATTACGTATTACGTATTAGAAATTAGTATTTTCTTTTCGAAATCAAAGATTTCAACTTCTGAATTCAGTTCAAGTGTAATGAAGTGAGTTTTTGTTTAGATTTATGAAAAAATTTTGTTCCGTATTTTAATTTTTGGAGTACTATGACTCTAAAAAGGCGTCAAATAAATATTTATATGTATTGGTTTTATATAAATATATTAAATATTGTCCAAATTAAAAACTAGGATTTAAATTAAATAATTTAAATGTTCGCACTGCGTGAAAAATACAAACAGTAAAACTGTATTATATTTTATTTTACTATAATGAAGTAAACAAATTCATATAACAGTAAATACTCGAACACTATTTTCGAGTGATTCAATGTGATCGAGTAAAATATTAGTTAGATCCGAATCATATTCGAACACCAAGTGCTCAAAGCATTAATGCACACACTTAATGCACAGAATTATACAATAAACCAAATTTATTAAGTAAATATGCATTGTTATAATTATATATTTATTACAGAATCATTAAATATGTCTAGATTTTAAAAAAGTTTTTAAATATTCCTAACAAACACATGATTATATTTATTGTTTTTCATCCTACGTATCATACTTTATTCATTTTAATACTTCCCAATTTCTTAGAAATTCACCACATCTACTGAACTCCACTGAACACACACCACGCTTCTGTGTTATTTGCAAAAAATAGAACTTTATTGTGGAACCAGCAAACTTAAATGTTGCTAATAACAATTGTCGTTAAGTGAAGAATATTTTTAGTCCAGCGATTTGTTTTTAAAGAACTAAATTTACTAACTGACGATAGCAGTCAAATGTTAGTATTTTTAGTTAAAAATTAAAAACAATAACTTTAGAGCGCACTCTTATACAAACATCGCCATATAATTGAAAATAAAAATGGTAAGCAAAACAGCATAAATAAAAATAATAAAATTTTACACTCAATGGTGAGAAACATACATTTATTTATGAAGAAATACACTACAAATCCTTCAATATTATATATATGAGTAAACAATGTATGATTATGGGTACACTAAAAACAATATATATGATAATTATTAAAGCCGCTTAATAATAGCAACTCCCTTTCAATTTAGGTTATGTTGTGGATTAATTACAAATTAAAAATATATTTTATTTACATTTTATAAGCATATACATATTTTTGTGCAGGAAGTACAACAGCTTGAAATTCTTTGCAAGCAATTGTACGAAGCAACGGACTCTGCAATAAGATCAGATGCCGAGAAAGCATTAGTGCAATTTGTTAGCAGTCCAGATGCGCTGCCGAAATGTCAGATGTTGCTTGATCGGGCGGATTCAAGTTATGCACAACTCTTAGCAGCTACCACACTTACAAAATTATTGCAAGGACTTACCTTAGAGCAGCGCATTGATATAAGGTAATGTTTAATAATTGCTATAAAATTGTGTATGTAAATATAATTCAATATATGATACTTTTAGGAGTTACGTGCTCAACTATTTGGCAACGAGACCAAATCTTGTACACTACGTGGTGCAAGCGTTGGTTACATTGATTGCAAAAATCACAAAATATGGATGGTTTGATGCATATGAATCTGAACTTATATTTCAAAACATTTTGGAAGATGTTAAAAAATTTTTACAAGTACGTGTAACTAATTAATAATGTCTATTATGTGTTAATATTATTGTTGCTGTTTTAGGGGTCTGTAGAACATTGTACGATTGGTGTTCAAATTTTATCACAATTGGTTTCAGAAATGAACACTTTCATAGAATTGGATGCAAATTTCTCATTTTTAAAGAGCCGCAAAATAGGTACTTCATTTAGGGATCATCAACTTTACGATATATTTTTATTATCTTGTTCGCTACTTGTAACTGCGAGGGACACTAGCAAAAACTTAAACTTTTTGGATGATTCTAAACGAGGGTATAGTTTTATTATACATATATAATATTTTTGAATATTTGCTATATTTAAATGTTATAGGCTTATATCGCATGTGCTTCGTTTAACAAAGAATTGTTTAAGTTTTGATTTCATTGGTAGCTCAACAGATGAATCCTCCGATGATATGAATAGTGTACAAGTAAGTGAATATTTCATTAATTCTTTTAGCTTATATTGGATTAAGAAAAAATACTAAGAATATAATTTTTATTATTATATTATAATTGCGTTAATTGTTTTCTTTATGCTTTGATTATTTCAGATACCAACATCATGGCGTCCAGCATTCCTTGATCCAAACACATTAAAATTATTTTTTGATTTGTATCAGATATTATCAAATGGTTTAGCGCAATATTCTCTACAATGTTTGGTGCAAGTAATAAATTGTGAAATTTATTGTATATTATTTCTTTAACTTGTTTCTTTTTTCAGATGACATCAGTACGTAGGTCGCTTTTTAATAATTCCGAACGCACAAAATTTTTAACTAATTTAGTGGAAGGAGTCAAAAACATTCTCGTCAATTTACATGTATGTTTTCAAATTAAAGAAATAGAAACACTGAACATATTTTCTATTTAAAAAAAAAAAAAAACTATGAATTCATCATAACAATAGTGTGTAAATGTTTCTAGTAGTGTTTTAAGTTGTTTGAGTATTATAAAAACATGCTGTTTTTATGAAAACAAGTAATTAATTGCATAAGCTATTGCGATATACATTGCTTTGGTATGTACCCTATTTCGCAAGACGCTTTAAAACAACTTCCAGTCTTGAAAAAGTGAACAGTACGTACTGTATCCGGTTTCCATTGCATGTCGCGTATTCATACCAAGCCAGCATTTTCTTCTAGAAAGTTTGTTCAAGAAAAGAGATTCATCAACAATCCAACAATGATTACCCTATACCAATTGAGGTTTGGACATAGTCATGTCCCACGTAGACATAGAAACAGTCACTTGTCATGCATAAATATATTTATCATCAATGTTTTGTTCGAACAAAAAATTATTCAAATTCTTGAACAACTCAATTAACATTTAAATATGTGATTTCTAGTATTACCAATACTTTTTTGGAATTCATAGTTTTTTTTTATCATTTGTAGTATTAATTAAAGTAAATAATAAATAAATTGTTCTTTTTAGGGTTTGAGCGATGCGGACAACTATCACGAATTTTGTAGACTCTTGGCGCGTTTAAAATCAAATTATCAATTGGGTGAATTAATAGCTGTACCTTGCTATCCCGAGGCAATAGAACTTATAGCAAAATTTACAGTAGAATCTTTACGGGTAAGAAAGAAAATTTATTCTCATATTTATTTTCAAAAAAATATAAAATGTGTAATTAATTTATAGATGTGGCAATTTGCACCTAACAGTGTACATTATTTACTGACACTATGGCAACGTATGGTGGCATCAGTGCCGTATGTTAAATCTCCTGAACCACATTTATTGGGCACATATACACCGGAAGTAACAAAGGCCTATATTGAGTCCCGTCTAGAATCGGTACCAGTAACGGTGCGTGATAATTTGGAAGATCCTTTAGATGATCTTTGTATGGTGCAGCAACAGCTAGAGCAACTGTCTGTGATTGAACGTTGTGAATATGATAAAACATGTGCTCTCCTGGTACAACATTTTGATCAAAAAGCGCGTGAATATGAAAATTTATTACAAACACCAAATGCTAATCCCATGGATATTACTATACATGAACTGCAGTTAACTTGGCTGGTATATATAATAGGTTCAGCTATTGTTGGACGTTTGGCTGTTAACTCCAATGATGAACATGATACAATGGATGGTGAATTAGTGATAAGAGTAATCCTTTAAACAAGTTTATAATGAAATCTACATTAACAACATGCATAAATTTTCTGTTTGCTGTTTTAAGGTTTTACAATTAATGAGTCTAACAGATGCTCGTCTGCCTCAAGCAGGTTGTGAGAAATTGGAACTAGCGGTATTGAGCTTTCTGGAGCAAGTGCGAAAAATGCACATCAGCGAACAAACGCAAAAAGTAAATGTTTATAAGAGACTGAGTGAGGTTTTTGGAGTAAACGATGAACAAATGCTGTTAAGTTTTATCAATCGAAAAATGTATGTTTTATTTATTTGTTCATAACAAACATTTTTAATTAATGTATTCATATAAAAATTTACAATTTAGTATTACTAATTTAAAATACTGGG